CAAACTTCACATCTTTGTATGTTTTTTGTCTTTTTTTTTATTCTTTTGCCTTGTTCTCTTACATTTGGGTATTTTTACCTACAAAAGCAATAATTACATAATTGTGAATAGAAATTCGCTCATTTTTATCAGTAATAAGTATATTTAAGTATTAAATAAGTGTGCAAAACACACTTATCAGTAAGTCTAGACATATTCGTCATAAACATAATACCATAAAGTAGTTGATCTCAAATAGTGCAAACTCGTTGATCCACTAAGAAAAGATTATCAAGAGATCAAGTATACTGCCTATCGGGGGGAATGAGATTAAAGTCTACTACGTAAGGATCTTTTTAATGGTAACACTACCTTGTTGACTGGAGATTCCAAGATTTTGGTTCAAGGGAACAACTAAGTTATGAAGATTCAATGAAACACTTGGAAAAATGTTTCCTAACTCATTCATATGATATTAAAGTTCTTTCTACAAAATGATTAGAGGTTAAGATACTTTTTTAATGATTCATATATCTTGATTAAGTCAAGTGGAATAGTGCAGAATATTCCTAATAGAAGGTCACATATGTAAGTGTGAAGTGTGGCTGTTTCAATGAAAATTGTTTAAAAACTAAAATTTTCTAAACATTTATGAAACCCAAGGATAGGGCTAAAATGAATCAAGTCATGAGAATCATAAACGGTTTAGGGAAGACATTGTGTGAGTACTTGTCTTGGTTTATACCAATGGTTGAATGGTTCAAGACATTGCGTTCACCAATTAGCCAGTAAATCCGATAGTATTTCACTAAGGAAGGTTCAGGGCCGGAAGCAACCTTACTTGATGCAATGTTTTTTCGCTTTCTCTCTACTAGTGTCTGTATAGTCATTTACATTAATTTTCATTCACGTGGACGATGTTGGAATCTTGTATCGAAAATTGGTTTAGACCAATTTTAAATGATTATTTAAGTTGAATTCATTATTTGATGAATGAGAAATTAAGCCAATTTTTTGTTGATTAAATACGTGAATTGTTGGAAAATCGTATAGAATATTATGAAATTGGACGAAAAGGTGTTTCTTTCCATATGAAAAATCGTGACTTTTGGCATGATTATTTTCCAATGGATGTCTTTTCATGTATATAGATAAATCTCAAGAAGTGTGTCCTTTTATATGAGTGTGTCTTTTAAGACAAACATTTCCAACAATTATATATAGATTACATGTGTTTGGATTTTATTAATTCAATTCATAATTTCATATCATTTCTTTTAGTTGCATTGCTTGAAAATACTTTGTAAAATTAGTTTATTCTTACATAAAAATCGTTAGCACCGATGCATGACAAATTCATTTTAAGGAGAAAGTGTTAAACACTTGACTCAATCAATCCAATCACTTGCATTTCCTATTTTATTTTCTGATTTATTTGAATTTGAGATTTGATTTAAGAAAAACTAACCATTTTTTTTTTTTGTTATAAGAAATGTTTTTTGTTCAAAGAATGGAAATGATTAAATCCATCATTACGTATTTGATTTCAATAATTATCATTTCGTCTTCTCAAATTCTATTTTGGTGAGTTGAAACTATGTTCGATTTTGCGCAAGTAAAATGTACGTTTTGATAATTTAATACATGCACGTTATCGATGTAATATCTCGAACAGAAGGGACCCCCACGTGCCAAAGTTGTCAACTTGAGTTCAATTGTACAATTTTAGAAACATAATCATGACCACCAAGTTTGTGTCACAACCTCTACACATAATCCCACTAGAGGAAGAAATTTCACATACGCATGTAATCTCTATTTTTATAAAATGTTATTTCATTTTTGAGTGTTGACGTTTTATCTAATCTTGTTAAGAGTAGTAAATCAATTATATTGGTTATTATTTTAAAATTTAGTAATGTAAAATTTTACATTCAACACCATCATCAAAAATACTTTCTAAGATAGTGCAGGGTAGCAACTATGGTGTCGAATTTTTTAGCTTTAATATATGCAGTTTACAGATGAAACCGTGCGAGTCAAAAATTCCAGACTTCCAGGCTCGGGGAGTTCAAGAAGCTGACAATTAATTATATTATTCATTCGAGATTCGAGAATAGAAGCTACATCAATATATAATTCATAGATTTAATGTATTAATATTCTTTAACTATTATTTTATGAATTAGTTATTATCAATTAAGAAGCACACGCACATCGAGATGACCACACTGCAGCATGGATTAAGGATTTATTCAACTCAAGAATCAGACACAATAGAAGCCTCCCTTACCAATGCCTTAATTTCAAATTTCAAATTAAAATTGTCTTTGCCTTCTTTTGTGCTTGTATTTCTTAATTCATTTATTTCAAGTCTCTTTCAAGATTAATTTAAAATTATGAATCTTGAATGGTTTACAATGTATTCGTGCAATTCGCAATCCCAACTCCTAAACTTACAGTTTTCAAATCGAAATTATTGTCAAACTTTTATGGGCGAAAATTTGGCAAGTAGAATTTGACCTCTTAGATGAGATGGTTAAACACAATATGAAAGTAAAAAATATCATACGGTCCACATAAATCTCTAATGCCATATTTGAAAACGAATTTCATGTAAAATGTCACATTCGAGGAAAACGAATTCTACTTTGGCCGTTTGATTACAACGTGAAAATGGAAACCAAATTTCAAGATACAACCATTTTAAACTGCATTTTCTTTATTTTCATGGAAAACGAATTCCTATGAGTTTGGTGAGTTTTTATTTTCCAATTAACATGGAATTTGAATTCTTTTCCATCTTTGCCTACCCTAAAACTTTAACTTTTTAGATAAGGTTGTATAATTTTTAAATTACTAGTGATTTTAAGAAGGATTACTCAGACTAATCATACAAATTAAAGATAAATACTAAAATTTGACCCCCAATAAAACCCTACTTATCTGTTAAACTGAAGTTAAGAATTCAAAATCTTGTCTTTGCCTAGATATATCTTCTGATTACTGGGCCATAATCCTACCTAAGTAATTTTACTTTCTTTAATAATAGAATAAAGTATTAAGCAGTCCACGCATCCTTTTCGAGTTAAGAATAATAACTTGAATGTAACGTGAAGATAGTAACATGTCCAAAAATTTATGTTTACTAGACGTGAATTAGGGGTAAAGAAAAGTATGGAAAAAGTTTATAAGAAAAGGACAGCGAGACTATCAAAAATCTAACTCATATAATTCTTTTCTTAATTACTCGTAATTCTACTGTTTTTTCTCTAATACTCCTAAAACTTTACTTTTAATTAAATTGAATGTATATACAAAATTCCTTTTGGTGCACGTAATTCCTATATTGTAATTTATATGAAGTCTTGGATTGTTTTTGAAAAGTCAACTTTAGCCCGAGTTTTTATATAACGATTATTGTTTACATATTTAAGTGTTATGTACTGCCCTTACCCCTAACATCGAAACTTATTGATTATTGTTTTTATATGTAAGTAATGTGGGGGTCGTTTTATATTACCCTTCTAACAAAATATAAAATTACGCTGTGTTTTCGTATGGCTCGTGTCATAAGTAACAATCGTGGATATATAATTGAAACTTAAAATTGAGAAAAGAAGAAGGATATTTGATAACGAGAGGGACATTTCTTAACAAAGGTAGAGAGTGACTGAGAAGAAAAGAAAGAAAAGAAGGCTAGCAAAGGGTTTGGAGAAGTATTAATGGCAAAGATTGTGTGGTGGCAGAGGCAGATGCTTATATTCAAGTAGCTGTGCCTGTATAGGTGCAATAAAGAAGGAGGGTGAGAGTGTAGTGTTAAATATTGGTAGGTGTATCGAATTTATAATGCTTGAGATACACATTTCTACTTCTATGTTATCTTGAATCTTCAATTTCAACAGTGTCATTGTTAGATATAAATCTCATGCAGGTAATCATGATTTTGAATTTGGGATTGTGTGCTCCGTAATTGTTCTACACCCACCTCCACTTAAGTACTCTTCCGCTATCTGTGTGTGTATCACAGAGAGAGAGAGAGTAGGGTTTGTCAAGAATTTATTAGAAGTCATTTTCTTGATTTGTTTCTTGTTGGGTTGTTTTGGGTCTTCAAGAGGTGTATCCGGTTAGTAGTTACTCTTTGTCTTTCCTAATAATGGTGGGATTGTAAATTGCAACACCGTTTTTCATTCTGGCACTGAATGAAATGGGAAGAATGAAAGGGTTTTCATCTTCTATTTTGCCTCTGCTTGTGCCATTAATCCTTATCATTTTCTGCGAAGAATCTTCCGCCCAATATTCGACTTTGAATTACACAAAATATAGAAAAGTTAGTAGCTTGAGACTTGCTAGGATTCAGAAGCATTTGGAAAAGATTAACAAGCCTCCTGTCTTAACCATTCAAGTATGTCATCTTAACTAATTCTTGATCGAAATAATTTCTTTCGTACGATTTGTGTATGTAGTTAATTGATTTTGGTTGATTTTGTTTAGAGCCCGGATGGAGATTTCATTGATTGTGTTCATAAAAGAGAACAACCAGCTTTGGATCATCCTCTTCTCAAGAATCACAAGATCCAGGTACAATAAAGAGTTCAAATTAACTCTCTCTCTCTCTCTCTCTCTCTCTCTCTCACTCACACACACACACACTTTTATTTGAGCAAGCGTAAAGCAAAAGAACTGTCTGGTTCATGGGTTTTATTAGTTTTTCAACTACCAACCACCCCACAAAATTTTTTCATCTCTCTAGAACAACAATAATATTTATTGTTAATTATATTAATTAATGCTAATTCAATTTTTACTATACGTGTACAAATTTATAACTTAGTATTTAAATTTACAGAGAGTTCCACCAGAAATGCCGAAGATGATAAAAACAGAGGCAGTGAGGGAGAGAAATAGCAGTGAAAGTGAGAGATTGAGAGGTGGAATTGCTTGGCAAATGTGGCATCAAAAAGGGCAGAAATGTCCAAAAGGTACTGTCCCCATTAGGCGAAGCACTGTGCATGATGTTCTTAGGGCTAAATCATTGTATGATTTTGGCAAAAAACAAAGCAAAATACCACTATCTAGAAGGGTTGATGCACCTGATGTTCAGACTGGCAATGGCCATGAGGTACTACTCTCTTCATATATACCCATTCAGCAAAAGTGTGTATACTTGTATATGTGTGTATGTGCGTCTAAAACTATGATGCACGAACACCTATCGTGTCGAACACGTCGATACCGATTTTTTAAAAAAGTACTAACAAGATAAGTACTTACTATTTGAACTCATCATCAATTCGAGTTAGGCTCCCCTTTGAGATAAAAATATTAAGTATATAATATTTTTTATAAAGAAAGAAAAATAATCATAGTAGAGTGTCCCAATAGTGTCGATATCCAACACGTGTCATACAAAAATACATCATCTTAATTAAAGTGTCCGTTTAATACGAATGGAAAATTTACTAGTAACATAGAAAGGCTTTTGTAGCTTACTCTACAACTGTAGATCGTTAGGAGTATTTTGAATGAAAACGACAAAAAAAAAAGAAAATAAGATGTTATAGGTTTTAAATTTTGATAATCTTTCTATCATAGGTTGTTGAGATTATTCAGTATAAAAATGTAGAATAGATAGAAACGAGTGTTGGGACGAAAAAAGAAAGAATGTGATTTTACATTTTGATATAGTAAAAAGACTCTTCTACAATAGATTGTTAGGAATGTTTAGAGTAAAAATATAGAACCGATAGAATTGAGTATTGGGATGGAAAAGAAAAAAAAATATGGTTTTAAATTTTGATAAAGTCGAAAGACTTTTGTAACTTTTCTACAATGAATCGAAGTGGAAGGGGTAGAAATAAGTCTTATCATGCGAAAAGAAAATATTTTAAATTCTAGAACTGCGGAGCGTACCTATTTGATCAGAATTAAAATTAAAATTTTATTAAAGTTAAAGTCAACAATTAATTTTAATTATATATTTTATGATATTCACAATTTTTCAACTATATATTTCATAGATTTTTATTAAAATTTTGATTTTAATATCTACCAAAGAGATGTATATATCATTATAGCTAGGCGGAAAATGACCTAGGACAAGTAGGACAATACGTGCCCGTCACGGTGAACTATAAATTGAACTCCCTTTGATTTTTTATTTTTAAATAATATTCTGTGGCGTAGTTGACCAGTTAACTCCAGAAGTCAATCATATGGATATAATATTAAATATATAGGGCTTAGAGCAAATTTGGTGAACTTGTTTGCTCTCCATTAATTATGTATAATATTATTAAATAATGTGTAAGTTTGACTAATTTTTTATTATAATTTTAAAATTATTTATTGTTAATATATTTAACAGACAAATTAATGACAACAAGAAATAGAAATTATGAATATTCAAAGTTAAATATACGAAGTAGAAAGGAAGAATTCATGTGATTTGCTTATTCTATTTCTATTCTTCTTTAAAAATTTAGTGTTCTTTTTCTTGTTTTGGTTGTATATTTGAATTAAAAGCATGCGATAGCATACACGACGTCGTCACAAGAGGTATACGGGGCAAAAGCGACGATTAATGTATGGAATCCATCAATCGAAGTAGTGAATGAGTTCAGCCTCTCTCAAATATGGGTTTTATCTGGATCGTTTGATGGGTCAGATCTCAACAGCATTGAAGCTGGTTGGCAGGTACACTTTTTAACTTTTGTGCGCCCACAATCAATACATCCATATTAAGTTTATATGAAGGATTTTGTACATGAAAAATTAGCAATTTATTTGTATTAATTATGAAAAATATATTAAGAATTTTTAGTTCTTAAAATGATTTCCATATTATGCGTCATTAAATGCGAGATCAATAAAGTGAGTCTCATATTTATAGATTTAATTGACTTTATCATTTCACTCAAGTTCCATGTCACGCGTGGATGATTCTCATATTCATAAAGATGAATTTCTAAAGTTTTGATGGTTGTACTAGTCAGGTTAGTCCGGAGCTCTATGGTGACAGTAGACCAAGATTATTTACCTACTGGACGGTCAGTTCTCTCTATTTTCAACCATGTTTAGTATTTTTCTTTTTAAAATTTGAATGACAATTCTTTGTTTTAACACTTTAGTTATCTTCTGTACATAAAATACACGAAGAATTTAATAAATTATTTGCAAAAATAAAAATAATTATGAATAAAACATCTATAATAGACCATATTCGGATATGTTTGACTAGAAGTGAGGGATAGTTTAGGTATATTTTAGTTAACATTATTGTCCAAAAAATAAAAAATGTTTCTAAGACAACTTGCTTATAGGTAAACTTTTAAGCATGTTGCCAATATGTAACTAGAGACGAGTAGGTATCAAGATCAAGATTTATGAAACAATTAGGGCGGAATATAAACTCGTGCTCATCTATTATTTTATTTCTTGTGCAAGGTTGACTATGCCGCTATTTGATTTAGTTGAAAATTTAAAATAAATTTAAGTCGAAATTAACAATTAATTTTTATCGCATATTTTATGAGACTTGCAACTTTTCAACTGTACATTCGATCCACTTTTTTCAAAATTTACTAAAAACCTAATTTTTATCTAAACCAGTCTTCATCTAGTGCTTCAAATTCGGAGAAAAAAGAAAAACTCATCTTGGACCATTAGGATAGAATAATACCATCTAATACCAGTGGCATTAGAATATCAATTTAGGTGATTATATTTTATAGAAAAATGATATTCATCCCCAGTCTATATGGATGTAAATGATTCGTTAAATGATAAGTGAAATTAAATGACTTATTTAATTTCACCTATCATTTAATGCCACATTAACGTCACATAGACCGGGGATGCATCCCCACTGAGGAAGAATAGCATTTCTCTATTTTATATGTTCAATTAAATGAGTCATATAACTTTGCATTTAAATGAATTTATTATTTAATATCATATAATAATATTATTCATTAGAAAATGCTCAAATTACTCTTTAAAGTCATCTTAATTTGCCTAGGGCAAAGGAAGATTAATAGTCATCTTGGAAATTGGGGTCCAAATGCACATGAAAATGTTTAGTTGGTCAGAGGCCAGAGCACATTATTTTAATTAATCTTGAAATGTGACAATTCCTACTTGCACGGCAATTAATTAATTAATTGCATGGTGGGCCACATATATTCATGGTATTCAACTAATTATTTCTGCAATAAATATTTGCATCTGGCAGAATTCAGGAAATTCAATAACTTGTCACTGCATTTAAGTCTTACCCTTTTTCATAATGAATCGTGAAGGATGATTGGGAAAAATGGATCTCAGCTCTCATAGCATAACAAAATGAGCCATAATTGTAATAACACCAAAATCGAATAATTAAATGAACTTATTTATTTTTATTTTCCTTCTTTTTGTCAAATAATTGTAGAGTGATGCATATCAAGCAACCGGATGCTACAACCTTCTATGTTCGGGATTTGTGCAAACGAACAGTCGCATCGCCATCGGAGCTGCCATTAACCCGGTGTCATTGCTAAATGGAAATCAATACGACATCACCATCCTCATATGGAAGGTCCTTAAAATCCAAAATATTAACATACTTTAAAGAATAAAATTTATTCAAAAAATTAATTTTTTTCTTTTTTTTTCAGGATCCAAAGTTGGGAAATTGGTGGATGGGCCTCGGCGACAATACTTTAGTGGGCTATTGGCCCACTGGGCTCTTCACGCACTTAGCTGACCAGGCCACCATGGTCGAGTGGGGCGGGGAGATAGTTAATTCTCGGCCCAAAAACGAACATACGTCAACCCAAATGGGCTCGGGCCATTTTGCTGAGGATGGGTTTGGTAAAGCTAGCTATATTCGGAACCTCGAGATAGTGGACTCGGACAACAGCCTAAGTTCGGCCCAAGATATATCAACCTTGGCTGAAAATACTAATTGCTACAATATCAAGAGCTCCTATAACAGTGAATGGGGCACACATTTTTACTATGGTGGGCCTGGGAAAAGCCCAAAATGTCCATGAAAAGAATTAAATAAAAAAAAAAAAATTCCTATGCCAAATTATTCCTTTAATTCTTAAAAATGTAGAAGTATGCTATTTCCAACCATGTTTCTGCTAGTTTCAGTGTTTCAAAGTTTTGTATTGCTTGTGAGAAACGAATGTTTGTATTAATAAGATCAAATGCATCAAACAGGGTGGGGAAATAGCAAAATTTTATTTGAATTGTACATTGTTAGTCCATAATATATTTTTCGTGCTTCGAATATTTGTATTTATTAGTTAAAAAATGGAGAACTTTGTGGAAAGAGATTTAAAGCTTGTTTGTCAAAATTATTTTCAACCTTTCCTCACTTTATAACCTCACATTATCCAAAAAAAAAAAAATCGTTTTTCCCTTCAAAAAAATTTTGTATGAAAACTAAGGGTCCGTTTGATTCAAAAATGAAATATGGGTTGACAAAAAACGAATTGCAGGGAATTGAATTGCTTAACATTTGTTTTACTGGGAATTGTCAATTAATTATGTTTGATCTGTCTAATTTTTCACCTATAAAATGTTGAAATTTTCTATCTTTTGGTGTTCGTTTGGCTTTGTTTTTCATGAAAATTGTCAATTAAAGGGATATAATTTCTTACAATTGGAGATATAATTTGCTTGGATTACAAAAAAAAAAAGGAAAATTTTTGGCGTTCGTTTGACTTTGTTTTACATAGAAATTGTCAATTAAATTAATAATTTTTTTTACAATTGGGGATA